AATGTCTGAAAAACAGAAAATATAGCAAGTTCTTGAATTAGAATAAATGGTCTTTGCCTGTAAAACTCCAACCTGTCATATTCTCTGATATTAGTAGTGGTTGACAGCTCCAAATCTCCAACTGCTCAAGATTTATAAACCTGACATATTCTCTGATATTAGTAGTGTCTCAGCAATTCTTTTTGGCCAAGATCTGTTAATTGGTTAAAATTAGAGAATTTTCATGATCAACAATTTCAGGAATTGTCACTGTTAAAAGCCTCCCAGATTATGCTGTATTTTAGATTGCATAATCTTACTACTGGAAAATTGCTTCAATAATTTTGTATGACAGATACTTATCATGCAACATAAACTCATGCGTTTCCTTTGAAGTTTGTTTTTATGCAAAAGGAATTTCAGAAGAAGCAGAGTTCAACATTTGTAAATTCTACACTTTTCCATTGACATCATTCTGTCAGTGATCTGAAACAACTTCAAAAATTAGCACTAGGATCCTACCAATTGGCACTTGACAAGATGAAAAAAAAACACTCTTTCCATCTGCAAAGTTTGATTTTCACTGTGTGCTCCACACAAAAATCAACATTAAATAGAGGCTTGCAACCATATCATGTTGAAACTGGTTCCTGTAGGATCACCAGAGTTAAGCAACATTGAGCCTGGTCAGTACCTAGATGGGTGACCACTTGGTGCTGTAAGCTTGGATGGATAAAGGCTCAGAATTGTTAATCAGAGGACCAAGTTCTAATTCCAGTTGAGTTCATTATACTTATGTGCAAATATCCTTGGGAATGGTATGAATCCACCTATTCTCTCCCCAGCTATGGCTTAATTAGTAAGACTTTTATCACTAAACCATTATTATCTCCAAAAAAGAAATAAATGAAATTGCATACAAAACAGCATGAAATGAATTACTGAGATTGATATGTCACTAACCAAAAAAAAAAAAAAAAAAAATAAATAAAATAACATCTCATAAAATCAACCAATAAGTGCCTTGGTGTCAAGGAAATGGTTAGCAAGGCTAGTCAGGTTGAATAGTACTACTGAGTAGTGAGTTTGGTTCTTACTCTGTGTAACATAGAACATTTTGATACTAGGTAATGGAAAATTGATAAACAATTGATGTATCTTTCTATATTTCTGATATAAGGTATTATGTACTCTATTTACATTATTTAGACTATTGTCCTCATCTTTGTTGCCATATTTATTACAACATTTCGGCCATTGTATGCTCTGGCCTTCTTCAGGTGGTTGGAATGTCAAACTAAACCCTTTATTCACTCACTTAGTTCCACGTGCCATGTTTAATGGATGTCAGTTATCAGTTTTATTGAACTCTTTGGGTCCTGTCACTGGATCTAACCAACACCTTTATCCACTGTACCATGTGTCCTTGAGGACATCTGGGTATTATAAACCTAATGTCTTCAGCAACATTTTTTACCAGTGCTCATATTGCAATTTTTGCTTTTATCAATGCATGTTTTTACCAGAGCTCATATTGCAATTTTTGTTGTTATTATCGCTTTTCTCTGGCACTCCTTATTACTGGCTCCCATATTGTATTCATTTCTATGCTTGGTTGGCTCAGGAGATTTTTGTGGCCTAGCTTTTATGTGCTGATTCTTTAAGTTTACAAATTTTCCAAAAAATACCAAAGTGAGCTTGAGTAAATGGATGGCAGAACAGCGTTTAGAAGAAAGAACAAAAAGACAAAATTTGTTGAGAGCTATGAAAGATGGGAAATTTTTGAGAGCCATGATCGCCTACATCTCCGACAGTCCATAAAGAAGGAGAATGTATGTAGCATGGAGTAGATTAATTTTCAAGATACGTGAGAGTGTTGAAAAGTTCTTGGTTCAACAAACAAGTGAAAAAATAATACACCAATTTTTGTGGAGGATTATAAATAAGATCTTTTCAGCATCGTCTTATGAATCTATTTTTGTTGTTTAAGTTTTCAAAAGTCACACTATTTTCCTTCCATTACAGTTATCCTTAGCAAGCACCACCGTCTGCACTATTGTTTGGTTTGTTTCTCTTTGTGAGGCTAAGATGCCAAATATTCCAGGCTCTCACAGCATTCCTTGAAATGAATAGAAAATTCTTGGAAATGTCTCTGACAGAAAGATCCTGGAATAAACCATTGATACTCAACCGAAATCCTACATGTGTACATATTAGACAAGCAAAAGCAGCAGAAAAATTTCAGTAGAAACAAAGAAAAGACTGCCCAATTACAATGTGATATCTCTCCGCTGATATGGTAGTGAATCTCTTCATAGATGATCAAAAAATTTGAAGCAGCAGAAATGTGGTCCTTCAGAAGGATACTGTGTTATGAAATAGGATTTCCTTTGTATTTTATCAGTCCAGCAGTAGCAATTTATCCCACATACCAAATGCTTGTAAATATTCAAGAAGTATTTAGCAACTAGAAGAATTTAGAAAACTTTATTGTTTTCATAATTTTCAGTTGACTATATGAATACAATAGCCTTTTCTAAATTCTTCTAGTTTGCTAAGGACATTTTGTTTTGTTGTTAATAGTTACTTTGTTTTTAATAAATTCATTTTGTTTTTGCCTTGAAAAAGTCCACATTGGACAAAATGCGTCAGCTAATAATACAGTTTTCCTATTGTCTTTTACTTTTATATATATATATATATATATATAAAATTATGATAGTAGCATAAGATTGTTTTTGATTACACAAAATATTACTATAGAAGACCCAACAATCCAGCTGACTAATCAGCCATTTTCTGATTAATCATTGACATATAACCATGGAATCCTGTCACTTTTTATCTCTTCTTACAAATATCATGACCTTTGTTCCAACATAGTCTTTGATTATTTGCTGCCTTCTTTACCAATCATAGATTGCTTTCCTCTCACCATTTCATTTATTCATATCTATGACTCAGCATCATGACAGCTTTTCTGAAACAAGTAAAAGTATATATTTGGCAACCCTATTTCTATTCACCTATATCCACCTGGCATCAGCTTAAACTGACAACTACTTATCCATGGATATAAACCCTAATTATGAAATGTAATTTTGGAAACTGAAAGTTGATCCCTGTGTCCTGCCAGACAATTTTTCTTGCCAGAATCTATCTTACATATTTATAAGTCTACCATTCATTCTTGCTTTGAATATTGCTGCCACATATGATCTGGTGTTATAGTACCTAGACTTTATGAATTTAGTACAGTATTAGATTGGTGGTAATGTCTCATCATTTTACACTTGAAATGACTAGTTCTACGCTAACAGTTTTCTCTATCATAATTCTCCCTTGTGAAACTCTCTTCTGGCTTCTTGCTTCCCAATCAATTTTGTTCTTCAAAATTTTAAATGAAATGTCAATCATTATTTTCTGTCTTATTAATTCTTATCCTTTTATTGTTCTTTCTTTAAGCAAGATGGAAGGAGGCCATGGAACTGCATTTTTTGGAAGTTGATGTTTCCAGGATAGTTTGTTGTTTTGCCTTTTAATCATTTCACCCCAAGCATGGCAATAAAACCACTAAGGTTCAAGAGTTGACCGAGTGTGAAAGAATATAAGAAAAAGAAAACATTAAATAGAAGGAACAATAAAAAAACAGGATATTAAAGAGACAGAAGATAACATTAGAAGATAATTAGTATTCATCATCATCACCACCAGGGCATGCTGATTGCACAAATCTTTCAGACACTTTCTCTTCTGTCTTCAGTTATCCATTGCTATTGGCAGGTCTTCAGGTAGCTATTCTGTGTTTTCCCAAATCATCATCATGGTGTGCTCTTTGCACAGATCTTCCCAACTATCTCTCTCATTTTCAGTTATCCATTGTCATTGGTAGGTCTTCAGGTTGACACCCTGCTTCTTCATATATTATCATGGTGTGTTCTTTGCATAGATCCTCCTGACTCTTTCTCTCAAGTCTTCAGTTATCTATTGCCATTGGTAGGTTTTAAGGTTGGCATCCTGTTTCTTCATACATCATTATGGTGTGCAGGTGGCATATTGGCCTGCAAACAGATATTGAATAACGGAAGACAACAAACAAAATGAAGACTTGTGTACAAAAATATACTGCCAAGTTTATTTTTGTTAAAGAAAACACATCAACAAAAATAATGTTACAGTGCACTAGGCTTGTAGAGGATGAAAAGAGTGTTATCCTGAGAAGGACAGTTTTGGTAGTCGCTGGAGAGGTTTGTCCGGAAAAGGGCAGTTTACTGATTACTGGAAAAGAGATGTCCTGAAGAGAACAGTTTTGTAATCAGTGAAGAGTGTTGTATTGAAAAGGAGAGTTTAATGCTGCTGGCAAGGATGGCTAGAGCATTGGGAGCTGGTGGCCTAGTGGAAATGGCTGGAGCAGCAGACGATAGCGGAAGTACTGCTGATGGCTTGATCCATGGAGTTGGTTGTTGCTGGATACTACACTTTGATCCTCATCATATCGACGAGAATTTACCCATTCCTCCCCCATTGAGACAGTATGTTACACAATGTCAGGCTTAATGTGGAGAACCCAAGTGCATATACTCAAGCCAAGTACTAAAATTGACCGAGCTTCCAAACTTGTCAGTTGCACTGGCATTAGTGGCAACTACTGATCCCCTCTCTAAAGCAATAATAGGGTACAGCCGAGGGCAGCTGTTCTCCAGGGCCATGCACCTTAAAGTTTTATTTTCCTCAGCTACATCTATCAGTGGAAAGAGCCACAATCGAGTCACACTTTTCACAAATACAGAGATGCAACTGAGAGATAATAAACATCCTCCTGCAGGGCTACAGAATGCCTGGGTATTTACCCATGTCTACTCACCCCACTTGTGTGGGCTGCAATTATTTAACGTGTGGAACCCGAGTGCATACATTTGGGTCACTGGTCAATTTTTAACCAATTCCTGCTTGCATGGGCTCAGGCGCAAAGATTGTCTTATCTGGTCATGGCAGCAGAACATATACTGCAATATGATTAT